TATCGCTTCACGTGTGCGCAAACGTCATGGTGGGGCTGCAAGCATTCCACTATCACGAGTCCCCGCAACTGGGCAGATTCCAGTTTCTAAGGACTCTTTCAGCGATCACGGCGGCGAGGAGCGGATCGAGCTGCATGGYGGGAGCGGTCATCCACGAGGTGACAGTTCGAGTATGCACGCGACAGCTCCAATGGGGCCTTCCGCAGCAGTCCCAGAATCGCAACAGGGTCCAACACCGTTGATGCGTCATCCCGAGGTTCAGGGAGAGATCAGTCCTATCCCGGCAGTGCGGGACGAGGGTTCTGTCGGTGCACTGCATCCACTCATGTCTGCCGGAGCGGCAGTCTCAGTTGCAGCAACCTCGGATGTGGGACAACCACTGGCAGCGGCGGACCAAGAAAGTATGCTCCCACCTCGGAGTGTTTAACCGCGGCCACCGCCTGCATTGATGGAGGGGAGTCAGGGGACTGTTGTTGTGTGTCAAGGCGACGATCTCCCGGAACGTGATGTGTCACACACTATCGCTGCCGAGCAGAGCGCCGCAGACCATGTCGGCCTCGCATGCCCCACCGACAGTCTTCCGGGTACCGGCGAGTTACTGACCATGGACTCTGCGCTCGTTTCTCTACCGGACTTGTCGACGTTGATATCCCAGGTCTACCCCATGTGTCACCGCCCAAGCCACAACAGCCTGCTGTCATGGAGCATGGATCGGACGGGTTTGACGTGGCAGGAGGCAATATTGCCGATATGATTACGAGCCCAATGGTGTCTGCTATGCCTATAATTTTTCGTGTTGGCAAACTACGYGAGGTGGCCCTTGGTTTGGCGGAGACGGCGACGCGACACCGCCGCGACGGTCAGCGCAGCATCGCACAACGAAGTCTTTCTCATTCGTCTGATGGCGCAGAGGAAGGGTCTCCTGGTGGGCCAGTTGACACACTCGAAAGAGAAGCAAGACCCCCAAGTCCGCCGTCAAACTYAGAGCATCATCCGATTGCCGCGGCTGTCGACGCAGATGCGGGCGTCCCCGTCACAAACAGTGGCGCGGACGCGACAGAACAGCTTGTGGTTGGGTCATCGGCGACAGCACGGCGCGACAGAGCCACTGTTTTGCCGACAGTGGCATTCTATGCTAGCGGGAAGAGTACTGGGGGGATGGATGAGCAGGGAGTCCGGAATGTTGGCAGGCCATCTGCACCGTCTATGGGGAAACGATCCATTGGGAGTGTGGATGGTGCTCGGCACACCGCCATGGCAGAGTTTAAGGACCGACACGGGAGTGCTTTRCCGACGAAGACGTCTGATGTCCATGCTACGAGAGCCGCAAAGGCGAGTCTTTCTCGGGCAAGGAAGAAGGCCTCGGCAAGGAAGGCGTCACGTTCATCCTCACATATGCRTTCCCGAGAGAGAGGATCGGGCGTTGTGCATCTCGAGGACGGAGAGATTGCACCTAACGCCGACGCATTGGATGTTGGAGGGAGGGATGCAACAACGGCGGATATCGTCGGCAGGGAGGGCACAGGGAATGCAGTGGCAGGTCAGAAGAGACGCGGCAGTGTACTTATCGTCCACGACGACAGCACAGATGTCGCCCCGGGAGAGACCACAGGCACTGATGATGCAGAGGGTTCCGATTACGTACCCAAACCACGGGCGGCAGATGGAGATGATGGAGGAGGGCGACGAGTGAGACCGAGGACACGACTCGGGCCGCAAGGGCAGCGAGCACAGGGCATACCATCTGCGATGATTCCTGCCCCCATAGATTGGCGAGCTCAAGCGCAGTGGTTGCTGCGCAAAATGGAGGCCACTCTTCAACAGACGCACGGGTTATCGCTTGGCCGCGAAGAGACGGAGACTCAGAGACAGGG